CGCGCGCGCACGCACGCACGCACGCACGCACGCACGCACGCACGCACGCACGCACGCACACATATATTGAAACCTTTGTTATTTACAGGAAAAAGCTAAAAATTGCAACTTTAACGATATGCTAGACAGCATGATACGAGACAAAATTATTCTTGAAACTCATGACAAAATATTGCGTAAAAAATTTTTTGAAGCAGACAATTTAGATTTACCAAAGCTAGTAGCAATTTACCACGACTACAACATTAATACGGAAAAAATGAAACAAGTTACTAAAGAAACGAGAGCAGACTCAAGTGTTACACCAAAACCATCAGATAATATTGTAAAAAGAGTCTGTTGGAGATGTGATGAGCAGCATCCACTTGGGAAGTGTCCTGCTTGGGGATCAAAGTGCACAAAATGTGGTGACATAAATCACTTTACCCAATGCTGCAAGGGTTTTAAATTTAAGATGAATAAGGTAATAAATTATTTCAAGATAAAATATATATTGAAAAATATGATTGAATATTTTTCAATATATATTGAAATATCCAAAACTTATCAACTTGATTATTAAAATGTATTGTCATGGTCATTTGCATTATAATTCTATAATATTGTGTTCTTTAATATTATAGATGAATAAAAATTTACTGGATCCAACAGTGCAACAAACAAAATTGAACTCAAAGGTACATAATCAAAAGAAAACTACACAAAATTAGCATCGTTATTTACAATTTGTTCCATACATGCATGTTCAAGATATAATGTATAGATATTGATAACTATTATCTAAATAATTTATATATAACAATATATACATGTATAATTATCATGTAGCAAAGATAATATTGCATTTATAAAATATGATTTTATTCTATTTACATATATATGACTAATAAAACAAGATATTCTTAACAATATGTATTTTTTTATGCATTGTATCACTATGTACATACATACACTGAAACAAAAACTTCCGAGAAAATTATTTCTTTCAATATTAAAAGATATTAAAAGCTGACAATATTTTAAGGTAAAAAGAAATAAAGTGGAGATGCTTGTTACGGACAAAAGTATAAGCATCGTTTCAAAACATTAAGTATTATAGAGATAATTTTATGTTGTAGAATAATGACAAATGGAATAATCAAGCAGATTCCGAAGTTAAAACTAAGGATTCAATGAATAAAACGGTATTTTATTCCTCATACATCTTTCCTGACTACATATTAAAATGGATTAAATAGATAAAATTTTTTTTTAGATTTTTCCTGATGTTCCGACAACAAATTTAAATTACATTAATACAACGAATTACTCAACACATTTGCCCAAAAATACACGTGCGTATTTCGTAATTATTTGTGTTCATATTATATAACAAAAGCGTAAAAAATAATTTTTTATCTAAATTGAGCTAAATAATAATAAATAATAAAAAAAAACATTTATTACAGAGTACAGTCATTCATATACGAATTTAATTCAACCAGACGGGACAATTTCCGATTTACGTAATAGAGGTGCAAATGTTCAACCTAAACAGACGGTAATGATAATTAAAGACAGATTGATAATTAATGAGGCGCGCGTAAGCGAATGTCATACAATATCTACAAAGCGATTATAACTTCCTTTTGCAGAAAACACCAAGTGCAGGTACTTCACAAGAAAGGTACAATTCCAGTTCTTTTTTTGAAACACGGCCGTTTAATGCATCGCATAACGCACACATTCCAAAGAAAAACTTTCAAAAAAAGAAATCAGACGATTCTTGTATATTATCCTAAATCTTTCATATACACACATATACATATATTGCATATTATATCTTTCATATATCTTATGAATATATCTTGCAGAGTTAGTTAGTAAAAATTTTTATTTGTTGTAAGAAGATCCTGAAGCCGTTGTTTCACCATCTCATTCTGCGATAAATCTTCGAACAGGTCTTACGGATTGCTATTTTTTTTTACAGAATTAAAATACACACAAAAAGATATAGTAAAGATAATTTCATTAGGGATGAGTTTCTGTAACACCTGGATCCAGACGGTGAATTAAAATCACGTTATCCTTTTCTTAATTAGTTGTTAAGGTGCCTTTTCTGACTTTACTGCTTTTTTATCGATATATATTTTTAGTTTGAGATTAAAGTTTTTTACTCATGGTTTTATTCTACTATGGTTTTATTGACATCGATCAAGTTCGGTCTTTATTTCAGGATCCTTTGAAAAGTTAAATTAGTTTTCATTTTATGATTTAAGATTAAAAATGATTTATAATAAGAAATTTTCATATATGCACAGGGAATGGAAGTAACTCGTTACTTGTAACGAAGTTACAG